CAATGATCTGATTGGTGTCCTCCGAGAAGTGAGGGGCGTGGCCCCAGGTGGGCAGAGAATTGTACCAGTCATACGTGTGGCCAATCAGGGGGCGGGATATCGGAGGGACTAGAGGACGCGCGATCACCGTGGGAGAGGCGCTCAGCACCACCCGAGGGGGGTAAAAATAAACCGCGGAACCAAAAGGCGAATTTTATTCTCTTCAATCACGAGGCTGAAACACAAAAACATACAAAGTCGCTTTTCCTGCGCGGCGGTATTTCCGGCTCACAGGGGCGTCCCGTACCGCGCACCCTGCGGCACGGCAGGAAACGTCCGTAATAAATAATCCGGAACTTCGGCACTCGGGAGGGAAAAAAAAAAATCCGCAGAAGGAAGTCATCGCTCTGCTCACTCCTCCTGTCAGCGCGCGTGGAGGCAGCAGAATCCTGATTGGCTCCCAGTCTCTTCCATTAGGATTCCTGCTGTGCGAGAAGCTAACAGAAAGCGGGATTGCGGTCCTCATACTTGCTGCGTTCACAGCTCGGCTCCCGCGGGATCAAAAAAAAACAATACCAACAAATGTTCTTCATTAAAAACCATTAAATTCCTGACGTATCGGCCTCTTGTATGGGAGGGGGAGGGGCTGCACAAGCACCCAATCAGGCTTCGCTGCATCTACATGTGCAGGAGGAAAGCTCATTGGCCTTCTGCTGCTCCTTTAATGTCCAGTCTCATGCTGGGGGGGAGGGGGGCACTGACTCCAGGCTGGCTGCGTCATGTGTAAATCTCGGGACCGGATGGACAGAAACGCAGCGTGATGGGGAAACCCAACAGGAAGTGAGGTGAAAATCTTCCATCGGGGACCCCCATTGCGGTGACAACTGTGTTAGAGGATTTTTCCCAGGACAGGAAGTGAAGTCTCCCCCCGGGGGCCCCCATTCCGGTGACAACAGTGTAAGATGATTTTTCCCAGGACAGGAAGTGAAGTCTCCCCCCCGGGGGCCCCCATTCCGGTGACAACAGTGTAAGAGGATTTTTCCCAGGACAGGAAGTGAAGGGAAGTCTCCCCCTCCCCGGGGGCGGGGATTCTGACCCCTTTCCTAAAGGATGAAAGTTTCTGCTCCAGATCCAGTTTAATGATTTTTCGGAGGCTGGAGGTGGAAGGTGGAGGCCGGCCTCCGCGCGCGGCAGCTGCTGATGTAGACCGGTACTTCTGAGGCGGTGGAGGAGGCGGAGGCCGGTCCGGCGGACCCCGCCGGGGACAGGGCGGTGTAGTCCGCCATGGCGGTCAGTAGTAGCGGATTGGTCGGCGTGGGTTGGGGTGACGGCGCCGGGGAGGACGCGGCGGAAGCCATGGGACTGACCGCCGGCGGCTGCTGTAAATTCCTCATGGCTTGGACCATGGCGCCGTAGAACTGTTTGGTGTCGCTGAGATAGTTCTGGAACATGTGATTGAAGTGCGTCTGGTTCATGTGGATCTGACGCACGTGAGTGTTGAGTTCCCGCACCTCGGAGGCCAGGCCCTCCAGGTGCTGCACCACGCGCCGGTTCCCCTCCACCACGTTCTCCCGCAGCTTGTGAAGTTCCGTCTGGTGGCTCGGGT